AAGATCTAGTTTTTTGTTTTAACTACTAATCCCCCGTTTGGCCCTCGTTAAATTAAATATTATTTTTCTCTCTTATATTTTCAACTACAAATTTTTTCATAAAATTTTATTATACGTAAATCAAAAAATTTTTTTTTCAACCACCAATTCTTCAAAAAAATACAATTCCACCCATTAAAATTTGAAATAATAGGGGCTAAGCCCTAATTGTCATTAATTCTTTCAAAACTCTTTTTTCCACGTACTCATTTTCAACTAAACATTTATACTAAAATATTTCACAAGTAAACTCAAAATATTTTCTTACTTTTTAACTACACGCTCTTAAAAAATTCATTGTTCGAAACAATGTTTTTCCAAAAAATACCCCAAAGCATGGGCTAAATTGCTCGTGAGAAATCCTTTATTGTGGAAACACTTGGGATTGGTTGATTTTGAGCCCAACTCGATACATCAAATCGATTTGATTTGGAATAATGTGGTTCCATGGTCGATTTCCGTTACCTCTCTCTAGCCTGCTCCAATCAAATCATCCAACATGGTCCAGTACTTGTGTTTGCAATCGTTGATTAAGTCGTTGGTCTTGGATGAACGGATAGGCATGCAATTGAGACATTCAATAGCAAGTTTCTTTGAGATCAAATTTACTTGAGGAAATCTCAAGTATTCTTCCATGTATCGTACCAGGTTTCTATGAGAAACGAGAGGAATAGGGGTAGCGGCGGTTAAGGCCTGCTTGAGAGTTTCGCCGTACTAGTTATCAGCTTTTTTAAAATATTAATTTTAAACGTTTATGAACAGATCGATTTTAAATGATTTTAGTAGTGACTTTTTAAATTGTCTAATCTATGCTAGAAAGTTTATTATCCACCGATTCTGAAAGTTTTTTAAAAGAATAAAATTATGTATATATCCATTAGTAAAATTTTCTTTTATATGAATTTTTTTTTTTTTACTCATAAGCGATTTTTTTTTATATAAAATTTTTGTCTTAGTAGTATTATTTTTATTTTATAACAACTTTTTTTGACGTAAAAGTGTTTTTTTACCTGTAAGTAATTTTTAATTATAACGTAATTATTTTATCTTACAAGTAATATTTTACTTATTAAGTATTTTTTAAATGATAAATAATTTTTTAGTTAATATATTTTTATTTACAATTAGTTTCGAACAAATTAGATTTGTTGGAAATAATTATTTTATAAAGTGTAAAATTAGAAGAGAATTAGAGAAATGGCCAAAACCCGTCGATTTGGTGGGTTGATATAATCGTTCAAAATTACAATACACCGATTTTTGGCGATTTTTAAACAATCCAAAATCGCGGCAAAAAAAAACTAGCAAACAGCGATTTTTCCAATTCCTCAAAAATAGATTTTTAAAAAATTAAAAAATATATATACATGCGGGTTGGATCGACCCGACCCGCTTATGTTCAGGCTATATAATCCGTCATCAAGTCACCAGTGTCTCCCACTAAATAATGGGGTCCTCGGGAAAACTAGAATTTCTTATGATTTAAACTTGTACAGGCTTAAACAGGGTCCCCTTATTCAAAAAGTCTAAGCATCTCGTCCCAACAATTTTTAGTGCATAACTGCATATAGCCCCTCCTTGTTCCCCATTTGTTACATCTGCAGACCCGCCATGACATCCGTACTACTCCAACCTAACCACATTTTCTAGTTTTATTTTTTTCTCGTGTGATTTCAATATAAAACAAAATACAAATACGATTTCACCACCACCCTAGAGCGCTTTTTCCATAACCATATGAAGAGTATCAACGGAAAGATCTTTACGATTGTGGATAATTTGAGAATCAGATAACAATTTGTTTATGGGATGAAAGAGAGAGAATTCAACATTTTTATTGTTTTTCTGCCGAACAAATGTAATGTATGCTTAAACGGGCCACCAATTTGAACCAAAAAACTCTTTTTCTCAAATAATGGGATCAAACAGACGCACAATAGAGTGCAAGGTATGTTTGAGGATGAAGAAAATCACATTTAACATAACGATTAGAGAACTTTTACGAAAAAAATGATTTTTTTTAGAAAATATGTGGTTAAAAATTATAGGTTCATGTACAAAATACTTTATTGAAAAAAAAGAAAAATTTTAAAAATGTGTACCAAACAGTAAATAATCAATAATTGAGGATAAATTCAAGTAGCTATTATACAAATTGACCCTTCATTTTCAAATTGGGTAGCATTATCTAATGTTATAGAGGAGACTCCAGTCAATTACCATCAACTTCCACGAAACCCATAAGAAAAAAATGTGGAATAATTAATTGTATATAATATTGTCTTCCACTATAAAACTTGACGTGGAATTAAAGCTGCTTTTGGACTAAAGCCACACCATTAGAAAAAACATAAATAAACTTTTTTTTTTTTGATACTCAGGTATCCCAACTTTGTCTGACTAAATTTTGGACTTCCAAGACCCTTGCCTCTAGAACCTTGGAGGAGGTAAATCGCAGGATATGTCTTAACTGATTCCCAGGTTCCCCTCACCAACTTTGCACTTCTGCGCACAACGGATCATCCCCAAAGTGATTGCTCCATATCAAATAAATCTGGCCGCAGGTTCCCACCAGGATTCGAACCTCCACCTTGCCGCTGGAAGCGAGTTATGTTCTAATTGTTCCGCCAGTTGAGCTGTGCCCCGAGGGCAACATAAATAAATAAATAAATAAATAAACCTTTTTACTTGTCCATTTGTCTGTTTTAGACCAATTTTTCAAAATACTCAACATCAATTTCTACAAATTTTCGCAGTAATTAACGTGCCCGAGACGCCGCGGGTAAATACCTAATCCATTACCAAATATCAATATTTTTTTGTGCCCTTTTTCTTTTTCAAACACAGTTTATTACATTAGTGGGCAGCCAGCTCCTTTTATTAAATACGAAACTTATCCAAGAAGAATCACGTTGAAAAAATTCAAAGATAAAAGATAAATTTTATTACGCTTATTGGGGTTTTATTATAATTTTCTCATAACCTAAAGTCACCGTAAAAGTATAGTGATCCTCATTATTTACAAAATACGTGTCTTTCTATTCTTTTCAACACATATTTTTCAATAAAATAATATTACATGCAAATCATAAACTTTTCTGTATTTTTAACCACACATACTCCATCAATTTACTATTTCAAAATGCATTCTCAAAAGAAAATGAGGCTCACACATAATGTGTTCTTGAATTACTTATACTTTTTATTTTTATTTGTTTAGTGTTTCGTATGTTTATCCCTCTTTTTCTAACGAGTAATCGACTATTCTTTTTTTTTTTTTAAAATAAAATAAAATAAAAAATTGCCACTAACTAACATATTTCTACCCCCAAAATAGTTAATATTAATAGAACCTGGTCATTCTCACATGGGAATAGTGGGGACAAAAATGGAGAATAAATCTAGTAGCTATAAAAAATAAAATAAAAAATTGACTCTATGTCAACTTCTATAATATTTTCTTATGTCAGTTGAAGGAGACTAAAGGTCAATTGCTATCAACTTCCATGATGATGAAATGCCCCTATAAGAAAAGAAAAAAAGTGGAAAATTGAATTATATTATAATTTCACACCAATAGAAAAAGGACGTCTAGACATGTCCAATACGTGACGTCACGGCTACAAACCTAATCCATTACAAGATATCAAAATTTTCTTACTTGTTTTTCTAATAGGATTGAATCTTTCAATTGTCGAGTTAATAATTTGATATTTGTACATTTTTTAATAAAGAATTTCCACACCAAAGATGGAGCACATCAAGAAAAAATATGAATTAAAATAAAAGAAAAGAAATCTGATCTTATTGAATTCAACATTATAGGTGTATTTGATGGATATTATTGAGGATAAAATATAATTTGAATAGTAATATAATGAAAAATATGTGGTTCAAAACTAGGAAAAATATTATTTTAATGAAAAATATTTAGTTGAAAATGATTTTTGAAAGAATGTGTGTCAAACATGTGCTATAGTTGCAAAATAATCACATGGTATAGGTCCACCATTTTTTGGATATGGCGTAAAATTACAAACGCTGGAGCCTCGAATATAAATTAGAGAAAATTAAAAGAAATGTCCACTTTCACATTATCATTTGTGAAGATGTTCAAAATTTGTTCAATGTCCATTTTACAATATTTTATAGAAAAATACTTTTGTTATCAATTTATAATTTCACACTAAGAGCCTATTTGGTACAAATTCTTGTGTGTGTTTGGTAGAGATTTTTTGGGGGAAGAATTGATTTTGAATAGTGATATGATGGGAAATGTGTGGTTGAAAAAGAAGAAAAAAGTATTGATGTGATGGAAAATATTATTTTATTGAAGAATGTGTGGTTGAAAATGAGAATTGATTTGAGAATTGATTTTAAGAAATAGAAACAAACAACCCCTTATTTTAAAAGTGCACATGTCAAATCACAATAAATATTATATTTCTCATTGACAGAGGTATTACGTATCGAAAATTACATTTCAAATGTCAAGAACTTTATGAAATATAGAGAACTTTCACGTTAGGGATGAAATATCGTTCTAGACAATGAAGTATTAAAATAAATATGGTTCAAATATCGATAATAACTTTTAAAATGTCGATAACATCATTTTTATGTAACTTCTCATGAAAGTTACTTCTTCTTGAATTCGTGATAATTTTAAAAAAATTGCTTTATTTTTCATTAAGGGTATAATATACAAATTAGTACTAAATTTGACCATTTTTGCGAGAGTTATTAAAATTAGAGACTTATTAATCGACAAGCATGACATTAGACATGTTTGTAAATTCCCCTATAAATTATGATTAGCTAAAAAAAACTGCAGATTAATCTGCAAATCATTGCACAAGAATGGATGACAGGATGAGAAAATAAAAACTATATTTACAAATTTCCGCAAACCGTAACACGCCAAAAAAAATAAAAATAAAAATAATAATAAAATAAAACTATCAAACTTCTTCTGTGTGACAGGTGGAGGCAGCGCCAGCAGGCTTTGCCAGGTACGAAGGGATGGTTTCTCCGGCCATGATTACGACAATCCTCTGCTCCATTTCCGGCTGCAAAACCCTATCAATGGGCTTCGCCATCTTTTCTTCTGCATCACTTGATTCACCGGTGTTGGAGGATTTTCTGTACGAGCTGCAGGCAAGAATCATCAATGCAAAAGCTACGAGTCCCAACATTAGTGCCAACCCACCAAAAAGATACGGAACCGGAGATTTCCACCGCTGCAATCCAACACTATCTACGGCGGCGGTGGCGTTCAGTGCTGTCCTCATTCCTCTTATGGATTCTCTCTCTCTTCCTCTCTACAAGTCTTCTGCTCTATAGTTTGATGGTTGCTCTTTCTCTCCCTCTTTATGTGTATATATATGTGTCTGTTGGGACAATGAGTGTGATTTGTTGTGTTACAGAAGTATTCCATAAGGTGATTCTTGCTTTTGTTGTGCCTTTTTCTTGTTTCCTGTCTATTTCCTTAAGGATTGACTGCTTTCCAAGTTTCTTCATTTCTCCGTGTTTCAAAATTTACCCTTCAATATTAACTTTACAAGCACCTTATAATAAATAAATATTTAAAATATACTTCTTCTCTAATCTTGATCAATTTCATTCAATTCGAAATATTAAACATATTTATTATTTAGTTTAATTAAGAAAGTTGAAAAACAAAATGTAAGTTAAAGTCAGCATCTTATACATATCATGTGATACACAATTTTTATAAACTTTTCAACAATCAATTTCATAAATTTTATCAAAATCTACATCGAGAGCTTGTTTGGTAACCATTTTTCAACCCAAAAAACTCATTTTTTTTACCGTTAAACAAGAAAATCGGCAACCATTTTTGACTTGCTGTCTCACAGGTGGGACCCACCTGTTGTAGTTAACGGTCATTTTTTTTGCTGAAAATCTTGTTGAAAATGGCTCCAAAGAGGGCAATTTGATACTTTTGCTAGTGTGGATTGTGGAAAGTAAGAATGAGTGTGAAGGTATCCAAGAAAATCAGTGTGAATTTTCTTGATTATGCTCTTTTCGTCGTACCGAAATTGGTCCCACTAAACGTGTCCCTAAGGCTAAGGCTCCATTATCCTCGTCAATTTTCAATGCTTCATAATTGGTACAAGTAATTGTTTATGTTGGTGGCTTTAATATTAATTAGTAGGTTGCATCTTCGATGAAATTTCGTATCAATTATTTAAGTGATCAAATTCTTCGGAACCCACAATACATTATATTAATTTTTATCAAAATTCGTTAAAACTTTTATCAAACCAACCCTAAATATATTATAAATGTAATATTTTAACTCATGGTACGAAACCTAACTAGGCGACTAATTTATTCTTCCTTTTTCTGTCTTTTCGTTTCATTTCCTTCTAATCGACCTACGTTTAAAACCATAAAATTAATAGTAAAACACTTTAAGAAAAGGCATTATGCTTAGTGTGTTCGTTGGTTAATCATAGAATTGGACAATAAAAATGTTCTCTAATTAACAAAATGAAAAGGAATATGTTATCGTCAAGGCATTAAGCATATGTTTATTATATCACATTAATTAGGTAAAATGAAGATGTACTGCGTTAAGCTAAATAGAAAGAGCTTTGCTATAAGTATAGGAATTCAAAATTCTTGTACTTACAGAATAGACACAACAATTGGGGCGAAACTTTTTTGTTTTCATTATTTTATACATGGGGTCCATTCTATGTGAGTGAGAATTCAAATTCCTGGTAAAATTCTGGTAAAAAAAATCTGTACTTCAATCATTTTTCAAATAGAAAAACAACTTAATAAGGATCATTATATATGTACATAAATGTTAACACATTGGTTTACACCCATACAGTTTACAGATTTTGGTACATTGACGCTGACAACATATTTTTCAATCAATTGTCAGATTTTTTTTGACATATACGAGGGTGTCAATTAATGTTGACACGTTGTATGTACAAATAGTTTAATCCACTTAATAATAAAGAAAGGTGGTGGAATTGAGTAGGAGGATTAGGACGAATTAGTTAATGTAAAAAATTGAAATGGAGGGATGGGGTTCTTTTGGATTAGAAAGAGAAGCCACTGAGTCATTGAGACATTGTTAATGGGCCCACCAAACGCAATCGTTTTTCAATTAATAATAATATTGGGAAAATTGATAAAATCTCGTTACTTAATTTTTATTAAATATCAATTAAATTAGTATAGGTAGTGAGATCCTAGTAGTATCATTGCGATTGATGGAGGTGTAATCAGGCCATCCGATGACACTATTTTACTCTCCAACCGCGCATGATTCATTGCCAAGACGACTTAACTACCTAGTTAGTCGTTAAAGTTGTATGAGTTTAAACCCCTTTTTAGTGGGCTTTCTGGGTGGGTGAATTCTGAAGTCCAAGCTTGGGCCTAAATCTAGCCCATAATGCCGTCATCCCAAATTCAAAACTCTTGACATCAAATTTAAAGGGAAAAATTCACAGGCCAGTGATTAGATTTACAAAATAAAAAATGTTTAAATTTACAAAACTCAGGTTTTCCATGAATTAATTAATTATATTTTACAATTAATCTATTAAATTAAATATTTAAATGTAATATAAAATACTCCATCCCACATCCACCACCACTCTGATGACTAATTCGGCAACTATTCTCCGGCCGCGTTTAATTTCGACGAATATTTTTCGGTGACCGTTAATTCTGGTAACTGCTCCAATTCCAAGGTCACAGATCAAAAAAATTATATATTACATGTCACGTATTTCAAATTTGTGGGTCACAAATTCCTTTTTTTAATTACAAGTTATCAATTTTAAAGTCACAATTCAATAGCGAGGTCACAGATACCAAAAAAAAAAATATCACAGTTCAATAGTGAGGTCACAGACACAAAAAAAAACGACTACTGTTCAATAGCTAGATCACAAACACCAGAAAAAATCACCATAGTTCAATAGTAAGGTTACAGACAAAAAAAAAAAATCACCACAGTTCAATAGCGAGGTCACGGACACTGGCTTGATCACAGACACTAGAAAAAAACCACGGTTCATTAGTGAGGTCACAGACACCCAAAAAAACACCATAGTTCAATAGCTAGATCACATACACTAACTAGGTCATAGACACCAAAAAAAATTACCACAGTTCAATAGTGAAGTCACAGACACCAGAAAAAAATCACCACATTTCAATAGCGAAGTCACAGACACTAGAAAAAACTACCACAGTTCAATAGCGAGGTCATAGACACCAAAAAAACCACACATCCAACACAACAATAACAAAAAACAACCACCACAGATCCACCACCTCCACAACCACACATCCCCAGTTGCAGGCTACACAACAATAAACCCAACTTCCATTAAACAAAGCACAAACACCATCATCATGGTCTACCTCAGCCACCACAAAATCGACGGAGAAATTCCACAAATCGGGATCTGGAATAGATCTCCAAGAGGCGGACGACCACAAATGTCGCCGTGACGCAGCAGCGCGCTGTTGGGTCGCAACAGAGACGCTCGTTGCTGCGAATCGCATCAGCATCGCAGTGACGCTGCTGCGATTCACAGCAGAGGGAGGGAGATGGGGAGGGAAGAAATGGGGGAAGAGAGGGGAGGAGTAGGGTTTGAGAATTGAAATTGGGGGGTAGGGGTGTGTATATATTTAATTTAATTTAAAATATTATTATTAATAGTAATTGTGAAATTAAAATCTGATTTTTGATTAAATAAAGTATAAACCTAATTTTTTTATAACATCAAACTAAACATTTGGTTTAGTGTAATTTTCCCAAATTTAAATCGTATTTTTAAAGGAAGGATTGGTACTGATGTAAATACATATACACGGATTTACGACAAGGCAGAGATTTAACAATAAAACTATTTGTACAAAGTTGAGTTACAAAAGTTGGGTTACAAAGTGTGTGGACAAAATCCAGACCGTTGATCTCAAATGATTTAAAAATCTGCCTTTTAAAATGATTGATGTAGATGTTATTTTGTCAACTAATTTTGTAACCCAACTTTGTACATGTAGCATAACTTGAGATTTAAACAAGATGATACCAAAGCTCATCCTTTTTTTTATAAACAGGAGTTACAAAGAGGAACAATATTCGTAGTAGCTTTAAACCTTATCTTGCAGGGATCAAGATCAGAATGACTAGACAATGCCATGTCAACATTCTATTAAGGGTCCATTTGATTGTAATGGTGAAAAAAAAATGAATTTCAGAGAAAATAATTGAGTAGAAATTGTTTTGTAGGGAATTGTTAATTAAGTGCGTTTGATACGTATGATTTTCTACCCGAAAATTTTTTAAATTTTGTGTTCGTTTGGCTTTCGCTTGCATTAAAATTGTCCATTAAAGTGATAATTTTTTTCACACTTGATTATAAAATTTGTTTCCATTACCAAAAAGTTAAAAAAAAAAATGTTTCCTAAAAAATCTTTTTTTTTTAATCAAAGTATAGTGTTCGTTTGGTCTTCGTTGTATCAAAATTGTCTATGAAAGTGAAATTTTTTTTACACTTAGTTATGAAATTTGTTTCCATTGCTAAAAAGAAAAAAAATGATAGACAGATCTCAGAAAACCTTTTCCCACCTAAAAGGTGGGAATCCCTTTTCCTTTCACGCCATGAATTAGGCGCGTGAGTGGAAAATTAAAGTGCTACATTCCAGGGCAAAAGGTGGCCATCAAACAAGACATTTGCAAGGAAGGAAAAGAAATTCCATTTTCCATGGAAAATGTGTAGGATAATTGTTTCAATATCGAATATCAGATTTACAGACTGGATATCGTATAATAAGCTGTACATATAACAAATCTAACGATTTGTTGTTGCAGCAAAAAATAACAAGTAATTTAAATAATTACAAAAAGAACAATATGCAAATGGAGTAAGAACAAATAAAACAGTATAACACTTTTAACCTGAAGCCTGTGTCAAACACAGTAAGATTCGCCCCCTCACCGTACGTGCTTGAGGATAGTACGAGCGTCTGCTTCCCAAAATACAACGGAGGAACCAGTAAAATTCGTGCACAACAGACTCTACTCCGGCGAACTGACTTTGTGTCTGAAATATATCACCACCAGATTCGAACAGGAACGAAAAATGAAGAGAATGTGCAGATGAACTTTTCGTGTATTGGACAGTGGGAGACATATATAAAGGCAAAACGTGGACACTCCTAAGGGGCCGATTTTGCTCCTTTCGTATACGCAGGTCGCGCCCGCACACAAGTTCAAGGTCCGAAACCTATTTCGATCCAAGATTTGCACCCCCTCCTGCGCGCGCACGTGGAGAAAGCCTCTATGCTACACATGATTACACCACTCTAAAGTGTAATCCTTTATAAAGTGATTTTAGTTTTCGTCAACTTCCTATGTGGGACAAATCTTAACTTTTTTTAGTTTTCCCACCAACAAACTCCTTTCACATGGCATACTTTGAGCTTCAATTTCTCATTCACTCGAGCATCATTTTTGACAAGTAAGCATATGATTTCGATGTACTCACGGAGGAAAACACAAATCATCTTCCATCTTTCAAAATAGTCAACCGGGTTCCGCTCAAAATTAGTGCCAAAACTAGCCTACCAACTTAGTTTTTCCAACAAAAGGAGTGTTATCAAACACACCCTTAGTGTTGTTGAGAACATCTGCTTTGGCTCTGCTCCTACATCTCTTCCTCTTGCAAATCGGCGCGTAGGCCTTCCTTGATGCATACCTGATTGTCCTCTCAAACTTCCTTTCCTTCTTCTTCTCTCTGTAGAGTAACACTCTGGCTTCTCTGTCCATTGGAGAAAGTTGCGTTGGCATTGGGCTAGGAGGGGTAGAGACTGAAACCTCGCTCATTGTCAGACAGGCACCTAGTGAAGAAAAACTTACAGTGTGAGAAATTGAATCGGGATAATCATAACCATTGTTCGAGGCCCCGTACTCCATCCCCAACTGAAAACTATGGTTCATAATGGTTGTGAATCTGATCCTTACTCTTTCCGTACTGGATTGGCACAATATTGTCACTGCCATTAGCTCTTTTCAGAAACATTGTAAAGTTGCATTTGATTGTAGTACTGATTACTGAATATGAATTGTACTCGTCGACCTTACCACCAATGAATTGTCCAATGTTGTTATTTTGGTTGTTAATATTCTTAGTTCTTCTTCTTCATGTATAATATGATCATCATTTTGAGTCAAGAACCCAATCTTAACTGTAACCTCAGTAGGCCCCATTACTAATCCACTGGGGTGAGTGCTTGAGGGAGTATCATAGACCATGCCTGGCATCGGCAAAATGGGGACACGGTGATGGCGACATGCCAAGGGGTTGGCTGAGTGGATGTCTGAGTCATAGGTTGTACATAGGGATGCAGCATCAGCCTTACATAGGGAGGCTGCAGGACAGCAGGAGGATGTTCACAGGCCTCGAACACCCACATGCGCTCTTGGTGTGAACCGTGAGGCCTCAGGACTGACTACGTGAATGCGAGCGTCACAGCCTGTGAAAGGTAGGCCGAGTAATTCCTGCAGTACACGGTGCAGACCGCTGATTGGCAAGTGTCACAAATCCAGGCCCAATGGTTGGTAGTGTTGTAACCATGTATTCCTCTACCATTTTCCTTCAACATTTTTAGTTTTATTCGATTATTGGCATGGCCTGCCACAATGCAGGCCTTGTTTGACCTCTAAGTAGCGAGTTGTACACGAGTGTAGAAAATTAACTGCAATAACAAAGACAAAACATATAATCTAAGAATGATGATTATTACATTCAGAAAACTAATTATTACAATCACAAGCTTATCATATAGGCCACATGTCTCCAAACAAGTAGGTAATTCAAACGCAATCCTCCAAAGAACTTAACTCTATACACCTAAAAAAAAAAAAAAAAAATCAAAGCCCTTTTTAGCCTTTGCTATGAACTTCCCGTTTGAGAAGTTTAGCTTTGTTGTCTGTGTTTAAGAAAACTAACATCTGTAGTTGATTCACCTCGGACCAGAGAGTTCTATGGCATGTACAAGCAATGAAGAATCATCAGTTAAGTCTGAAAATCGTTCTGACGAAGAAATTTCTCGCGTTTTATACTTGTTTGTGTCTAATCTTTGAGAAACTTCCCATCTTTCTGCAAGGCCATCTCCTTCTAGCATACGTACGACTTCAGACATTTTAGGCCTGTGGGTTGGAACATATTGTGTGCATAAAAGTGCCACTCGAACAATTTCCTCTAGTTCAATCCTATCATAGTTGTTCTTCAAATCTTTATCGATGAACGTGTCAAGTTTCTTCTCTTGATGAAGTTTCTTCACCTGACAGATATTTCAGATATCCTTAAAAGTAAGCAAAACAGGAGAATGGAGTTGAATTTGTTAAGAGAATACGAGGTTGTGTTCTCACCCAATCAAGCATTGCACCTTTTTGGATAGCTGCTTTGCCAAATTCTAGTGCTCTTTGTCCAGTGATCAATTCAAGCAGAAGGATACCAAATCCGAATACGTCTGTCTTCTCAGAGGACTGGCCAGTGGAGAGATATTCTGGGGCTATATGCCCCACTGTTCCACGTACAGCAGTTGACACGTGTGAATCCTGATGATCCATAAGCTTTGCTAGTCCAAAATCTCCGACTATTGCTTCACAGTAGTCATCGAGGAGTATATTTGCAGCTTTCACGTCTCTGTGAATTATCTTAGGATCACATTGCTCGTGGAGATATAACAATCCCCGAGCAGCACCTAAGGCTATTCGTTTTCTTGTGCCCCAGTCTAGGACTGGCTTTGCTGTTCAAGTTAATAGTAATGCCTGGTCAGCATTATATCGCACTTGACTTTCTTATTTAATATTGTTTAGTACTATATAATAGTCTTACCAAACATGCAATTTAAAGATTCTGAAAGAGCAACTGAGTAATGATCAGTCCTAGAATATTGTACCTTTGAGACGAGAAGCAACACTTCCATTGGACATGTAAGGGTAAACCAATAGCTTTTCTGTTGGTGTCATACAGAACCCGTATAGCCTAAGGAGGTTCCGATGAACAGCTAGGCTGATCATCTCTACTTCCGTCTGAAATTGTCTCTCTCCTCCAACGGTGCTACCGTCTTTCAGCCGTTTTACGGCCACAGCAGTTCCATCTCGTAAATACCCCTTGTAGACATTACCAAATCCACCTTTTCCCAAAATGCTTTTACTGCTAAAGTTGTTGGTTGCTGTCTGAAGTTCCCTAAACTGGAACATCCTCAAATTTCCTAGAGAAACTTCATCATGTTGTCCATCTGAATTTTTGAAAGTAATAGATAGTTAAGGAATAGTTGAGAAATCGTAGTTAAAGAAATGAACTGGCCAAACAAACCTCTAACATCAAAGAAATTTTGCTGCTTCTGTCTGTGCCTTGTCCACAGAAACAGCCCGAGTCCTAGGATAAGTAAACAGATGCAAGCGAAGCTTGAAACAAGCGCAAGAGTAAGCTTGTGACCTTTTGATTTCTCAGAATGAAGAACGTCTATAGGAAGCATGGAAATTAAGGTAAGGACAAACATTTAGTTGAAGGTGGACATTGATAATCACAGAGTTCAAATAAACATTATTTAAAATAAATCATTTAAGGTTATTCCATACTTCCTGAAGTGTTCAAGGTCATAGACATAGGCATCATTGTTATTCCAGCACACGCGGACTCCGACCCTGCAGCACATATTGAAGGATTTCCAACAATGCTGCAATGAAATTAAAACAAAAGTTCTCAGAAATCCAAGTTTCTTTAGAGAATTCGTCTAGATTTGTGAAGTAGCTTACTTGAACGTCCTATATGGAAAATGAGGTACAGGGCCACTCAAATTATTGTAAGACAAATCCCTGAATAAAGCAAACACAACAACTTTCAATATATTATTGGTACAAAAATTTCAAAAAGAAAGTTGGTAGTTGACTCAAGAAGCAAAAGAGAATTACACAAGAGAAAGTTGTGTCATGTTGGCTAATGCCATTGGAATCTCTCCAGATAGACTGTTGTTGTTAAGCCTCCTAATGCAGTGAAAATACCAAGTGAGACCGTAGGAATAGATTCGTGTTTAGGAGTTTTCAAATTGGAACCACTAATGATCCCATTCAAATATGAACTGATTCTTGATGAATCTCTTACATGTATTGAAGGCTATTCAGTTGCACCAAAGAAGGAGGAATTCTACCGGTGAAGAAATTATTTGAAAGATCAAGTGTTTTAAGCTTTGATAGCCTTCCGAGCTCTGTCGGGATTGATCCTGTTATGTTATTGTTCTGCAAAAGTCTGCCAAAATCGCGTACCAGTTACATAAAGGGGGAAAAAACACCATGCGTTAACAATTTATCCACAGTTCGCACTTACATAAATTGAAGATTCGTCAAATTTCCAATGCTTGGAGAAAGAATTCCAGATAAACTTTGACTAGGAGATCCTCTGCACAACATAATCTATTAACTCCATTACTGTAAATTCTGTTTGTCAATTCTCTCTTTTATATTTTGCCTAAAACCCAGATTCGTATAATCTATTACAGTATAGAAAAGAACAGGTTTTGCTTAGGCAAAAGACTTACAGGCCAATTACAAAACCCTCAGAAGAACAAGTGACCATAGTCCAGCTACATGGATCAACAGCATCCCCATCCCAATTATCAAGAACCCCACGAGGATCCCTCAAACCAGATCTTATGCCCATTAAAGCTTGTACTGAATACAGAAACACCAAAAACGACAAAATTCATTAAAAATTTGAATATGTGCTATGGAAGAATATTCATGTGGAACGTTCTCAGTTTCCTGTGAAATCAGTTTACCTTCAAAGTTTACGCCTTTAGGAGAAAGCAAACCAATTGCAGAGCTCCAACAGCAAAGAAATGTGATAATGCAGGAGGCAGATTCTCTTCCTCTTTCCATTTTCATTGATATCAAGAAGTGTACAGACACAAAATCTTGATTATTTCTAGTATTTAAATTATTCCGTGGATGAGTTTTTCAATGAATTCTCTGTTATGTAATAGTGCCCAGATGAAAACTTCATTCTTGTTTTCTATCCCAGAAACTCATTTTCCTAGCCTGTGAGTCTAAGAAAAATTATTGAGTCCTTTGTGTTGTATAAAGAAAAGTAATATGCCTGTCAGGGGCAGGAGCTTATCAAGAAAAGCACATCTTGACGAATTTTACAGAACATGTACAAAATCTAAAGGAGGATAAAAAAGGAAATATCCTGGGTGTAAATTTTTGTTTAAAATCATGCTTTTGTCTAGCAAAAACACACAAATTTCTACTATTTTGAACTAACTCGTCTAAAAGTTTTAACTATATAGCAAGTACGCATTATTCCGTTATCGAATTTTAAGTACTGATTCAATGCGTGCATAACTTTCATAAATAGATGACGCCGAAACTTTAAAAAGGAATACATATGTTTATTTAAAATTTAAATATTTCAAGATTTCACAAGTTCAAAATTTAAGCAATTAATCAAGACAAAACCCAAGCATTAATGTAATGCATCTACATAATAAACCAAAAATCTTAATGGGGCCAGCCGGTCGTTCCTGGCTATCTTGTTGCTTGGAAATATGTACATTGGAATACAATATAATCTAGTCAGTATCTCTGTGAACTTTATATAATGGGATTTGTTTAACTTCGTATATCAATACATGGTTTAGTATAATAATGGGAAGCGACAGGGGAATCTAACATTCCCTGTGTTTAGCCATTCAACAACGTTACCAAATGTTTTAATTTAAAAGAACAGTTTGGGAATCTCAAGGTACAGTGGGTGGAGATCAATGATGTCTTTGGTCACAACACATAAACAAGACCATGATGAATGGATCTTTGTTGCGTGTGTGTGTATATAATCGACTCGACAACCACTTTATACCCTCCTGAGATTACGGGGTTTGTAAAAAAAAAAATTGTGAGTGTGACTTTTAGATTTTCTTGTACTAGAATTTTGGTTACATTCTATAAATAAGATCACGTGGAGTGGTTGAATAATTGAATAAAATGGGTAAGGTGACATTCTTTACACCCATGCAAATTCAACTTCTTGTGCAGAAAATTCCACTATTAGATAAACAGCTTCACGAGGTCCTTGAGTACAATCATTTTGAAAAACTGTAATTGAAAAGACGAACACTTTGAATAGAAATAATTTCTTATTCATGGTGGATAGGATAAAATATGACTACCGCTAATGTGACAACACCACGTCAACAGTCAAACCTACAATTTTTGACAATTCAATGTCAGCGATGGACAAGATAACTCGTATCCACCATGGGTAGAAGATCATTTCTAACACTTTGAAATATAAAGTGCCACTAATGTGGGTAGGATAAAATATGACTACCGCTAATGTGACAACACCACGCCAACAGTTAAACGTACAATTTTTGACGATTCAATGTGAGCGATGGGCAAGATAACTCCTACCCACCATGGGTAGAAGATCATTTCTAACACTTTGAAATATAAAGTCCCCCCCCCACCCCACCCCACCCCACCCCACCCCACCCTTATATGCCTTTATTTTTGTCTATATTCATTTCCATATATATTTGTTGTAGACGTTGTTACTCTCCTCACTACTAAAATATTGTTCATTATATAATGTAATCATATTCAAGATTGTGTAACAAACTTGCTTTCATCGGCTTATCCTTGATCTTAAACGAATCTAAATTGCTTTTCAAGGTTCTTGGTATGTGTACACCAATTTAAAATTGAATTATTCAAGTTCTGTAGGAAGATTAACTTTGATGAGAAACAACAAAAAGAGAGGTCATTAGAAAATTAAAAGCTGCATCTGAGAAAGAGGCTAGTTTAATAGGTTGAGACTTTTTTAAAAATAATGTTATTTATAGTCGGCCCAACAGTAGTTATTTTATGTGACAACTTGTTATTTGAAGTATTAATTTTCTGTAATTCGTTACCTTAAATAACTAGTTAATATTTCAAATAACAAGTTGTTACATATGATGATTACTGCAATCGCTAACTACAAATAACTTTCACAAAAATAAGAATGAGTTTTTATTTTTATTTTTTTCTATTTTTTACTTAATTTAAAATTTCAAATAATATGTAGAATTATGTTAAGGGCCTGAATTTTAGTGTTTTATTTATTTTGACTCATATAAGAATGAGAATTGAAAATGAGACATTTTATTATTATTATTTATTTACTTTTATATTTTATATTTTTATTAATTTCTTGTTTTGTTAACGGTATAAATATTTTTGTTAACGCTCAATGTGGACTAAAATTGGATGATATAATGGATTTTTTATTTTTCAGAACTCCGATTCTAAATTATTCCGATGGCACGAATTAGTTTTGTCTTTCTATTAAAATCCCGAGTTGAACAATTACTGAAATATCCTAGTTTGAACACTTTGCAACTCGAAAGCTAGGCAGCATCTTTTGAGTGGCCGGACTGGGGTGGAGCGTGGAGGTGGACCATTGTGTTCGACAAACACGATTATTATTATTTATTGACTTCCTAAAAAATTGAAAAATGATAAAAAAAAAAAAAATTAAATAAAAAATTGTTATGATTTTGGCTTCTTGAAGGTGAGTCGCGCCCTCCTTGGATCGATAACGAGATTTTGAGTTAGGTTAACGCAGATCATAGTCGAGCTATCCAGTACCAAGCTCTCAACATGTGGAGCTGTCCCATATCTTACCTAAGGGAGGAAGGATCAATAGAAATCAATGTGACCTAGTGTCCAAACTTAACCTAACCAGCAAAAAGGGAAAATTGACCATACAGAAGAAAAAACAGTATGCTTTTATATCTAAAATGACAAAAATGTCCAGTAATTAGTCCTAGTAGATTGAATCCAGTTGGTCATAATTGTCCCCTTCCTCTACACCCACCCCTAACAATCCACAACAGGGTATTCTTATTGGTGGAAACTTGGGGACCATATGTTACAAAACTAGTGGATCCAAGGTATGGTTTCATATTTGTGGGCATTCGACTGCCATTTCTTTTTCAGTTTTCTATCATAGAGGGGTCTAATGTGTTCTATATTATGAACATTTTGTGATATTTGTAGTGGTTGGTTGTGCTCCCATAGAATAACACACTACGCTCAATTCGAACTTGAATAAAGCCTCTTGTACATTGTTTTCTTGACATCAAATTTGACATTATGTGTAAATTCAAATTGTGTTTGACGGGAAAATGTGTTGTTTTTAAAAACTGCCCAATGTTATGTCGTCACGTGGTACAATGTCAAAGTTAGTGTACTTGTAGCATGATTGTTCGAACTTAAATACTGAAAAGAAAACTTCACTGTTAAGTACGATCAAATATGTTAGATTGCTAATAGTAAATATCAAATTAATGAGAAGAAGTGAAAGTGAGAGAAATTATGAAATTTAGGGTGTGTTTGATGTATATTATTGAGGAAATATTGTATTTTAAATAATGATATGATGTGAAATATGTGGTTAAAAAAATAAGGAATTGTTATTGATGTGATGAAAAATATTATTTTATTGAAGAATGTGTGGTTGAAAATGAATTTTGAAATAATATATTTTTAGAGAATTTGTGTCAAACAGCCCCTAACATGTAATTAAGACACAAATTTGGGTTGCGCCAAGAACCTAAGGGTCCTACGATTTCTTTCAGGAAATGATATGTCTAATTTTTTGATAGTGGTAAAAGGCTTCTTGGCTTATGTAGGGGTGTTCAAGAAAGTAGACAGGGGCAATAGAAGTTCAAAAGAAAACGGTAGTATATCAACTATTGACATATTTAACAGAAATCATATTATATTAAAAGAAAAGAAAATGTAAATTTTTATCAATCACGCTATATGTACACTCTTTCTTACACTTTACTTTATGCTCTTCCATACGACAATATCTACGCACTTGATTTTGAACTCAACTATCACATCACTGTATAAATTTCCTCCACATAAAATAGAATGTCATCCAAGTGGTAAGGAATGATGTACACATAGCGTTATTCAAATTTTATTGATTATACTGTTTCGTATGTACCCAACATGCATTAGATATTGCATTATATATTCGAAATTACAATTTAAAACACAATCGTTTGCACGTGTTAGTAATAAATAACACATTACGATAAATTTCTATCAAATTCTTTTTTAATGGTAGAGATATTTGAGTCCACATTGATTAGCCTCTATTTGGTTCCCATTCTTTTAGGGGGAAAAAAGTTTTGAATAATGTTTCAGGAAAATGTGATTAAAAAGTAGGAAAAAAGTTTTGGATTTACGTGCAAAATATTTTATTATGTGAATGTGTAATTGAAAATGATCCTATAGAAAAAAGAGATTGAAAAGAATGAAAATCGAACAGGAACAATGTATAAAATTCTTATTTAAATAGTAATTTCATCACATATCATACTCGAATTTTATTTTAGTAATATATTTTATTCAGGACGTGTTTGGATTCGAGCTTAAATCAACTTAGTTTGAATCTAATTTGAGTGGAGTTGTTATATAATTGACTAAAAAGCTGAAGCGAATACTTAATTATTTATACAAAGTAAGTAACAACCTCCATTGCCGAAAGTCACAAATCCTTGTTCCTATCAAATAATCTATCATCTTCCGACAAAATAATTACTTTAGTTATCACCCATATGAAAATCATTGCAGTTCGACCGTGACTATACTTTGGATCAAAAGTAGTTTTATCAATTAGATTTAAACCAAATTATGACTAATTATGATTAATATGCTTCTTGTTCACTGTACAAGAAAGATTCTGTAATTCCAAATCCAAATTCTTGACTCAAAAATTGCTTTTGTTTTTTCTTCCTTAATGAAGTTCTTGGCACAAATTATTTCAAATATTCAACTTTCACCCAGCGGACTATGATCTCTATGTTAAGGAATAAAATCTTATATCGAATAAAGATAAAAATATAGACAAATTTGTAAGAGTTTTGACTACTCCTCTTAATAAGATGGAACTCCAAATCTTAACATGATATCAGAGCCCGTTAAATTCCAACGAGCAATTCGATCCGATTAAAACTCAAAAAAATTGAGTACATGGATTTCAAGATTGGTCTGTTCAAGCGAGCCACCATCTTGCGGGGCGCCGGGGTTATGTTAAGGGATAAAATCTCACATCGAATAAAGATGAAAATATAAATCAATTTATAAGAGTTTTGACTACTCTTCTTAATAAAGTTGACCTTTTAAGATGGAACCCAAAATCTTAACACTTCAAATTTGGGTTTCCTTCTTTTTTTTTTTTTTTATTATGGTAGAGATATTTGAGTCCACATTGATTAGCTTGGATGAGTTGGATCCCATTCTTTTAGGGTGGAAAAAAGTTTTGAATAATGTTTCAGGAAAATGTGATTAAAAAGTAGTAAAAGAGTTTTGAATTTACGTGCAAAATATTTTATTATGTGAATGTGTGATTAAAAATGATTCTATAGAAAAAAGAGATTGAAAAGAATGAAAATTGAACAGGAACAACGTATAAAATTCTTATTTAAATAGTAATTTCATCACATATCATACTCGAATTTTATTTTAGAGATATCTTTTATTCAGGACGTGTTTGGATTCGAGCTCAAATCAAAATTTGAATCTAATTTGAGTGGAGTTGTTATATAATTGACTAAAAAGCTGAAGCGAATACTTAATTATTTATACAAAGTAAGTAACAACCTCCATTGCCGAAAGTCACAAATCCTTGTTCCTATCAAATAATCCATCATCTTCCGACAAAATAATTACTTTAGTTATCACCAAAATCATTGCAGTTCGACCGTGACTATACTTTGGATCAAAAGTAGTTTTATCAATTAGATTTAAACCAAATTATGACTAATTATGATTAATATGCTTCTTGTTCACTGTACAAGAAAGATTCTGTAATTCCAAATCCAAATTATTGACTCAAAAATTGCTTTTGTTTTTTCTTCCTTAATCAAGTTCTTGGCACAAATTATTTCAAATATTCAACTTTCACCCAGCAGACTATGATCTCTATGTTAAAGGATAGAATCTTATATCAAATAAAGATAAAAATATAGACAAATTTATAAGAGTTTGGACTACTCCTCTTAATAATGTTGATTTTTTAAGATGGAACTCCAAATCTAAACATAATATCAGAGCCCGTTAAATTCCAACGAGCAATTCAATCTGATTAAAACTCAAAAAAATTGAGTACATGGATTTCAAGATTGGTCTGTTCAAGCGAGCCACCATCTTGCTGGGCGCCGGGGTCATGTTAAGGGATAAAATCTCACATCGAATAAAGATGAAAATATAAATCAATTTATAAGAGTTTTGACTACTCTTCTTAATAAAGTTGACCTTTTAAGATATCTGATTAAAACTCAAAAAAATTGAGTACATGGATTTCAAGATTGGTCTGTTCAAGCGAGCCACCATCTTGCTGGGCGCCGGGGGCATGTTAAGGGATAAAATCTCACATCGAATAAAGATGAAAATATAAATCAATTTATAAGAGTTTTGACTACTCTTCTTAATAAAGTTGACCTTTTAAGATGGAACCCAAAATCTTAACACTTCAGTGAAGTTAAAATCTAGTTCTAACTGCGGCTACCACCCCAAAACACTAAAAGAGAAAATAAGTTCCCAGATCGAAAATCAGTTCAATACAAATTTTTATGCTGTTTCTGGTCCCCATTTGGATTAAATGTTAGTTTCTCAGAGAGCACTCCCGGGGTAATAGCTACTAATCATCACAAGTTGATTGCATTCTGTCAATTTTGAATGTAACAAAATGAAATGTGTCAAATAGAACACTCAAACTATGATTTTCAATAAGTAGAAACTTGTATAGTCAAGTTCATATCGTTTTGCTCATGGACATGTCTCTTTCAATCCAATTGCCAAACCCTGTACAGCTAATGCATGTTTAGTCCATTTTTATGTAGACAAATGGTTAATAGGGACCATTACGAAACTAGCCCAAATTCGGATTGACGGGTCATTTTCTTTGACGGTTCTCGTTCAATCATGTAGTTAGAAAAGCCGTGAATGTCAAATTGATGCTCAATTCACATTCAAGTTTACCGTTTATGAAATACCGAGTTGAGGTAGTGGTGTCAAAAGGGTTGCCACAATATATAGGAAGTTCGGATATATCAAAATTGAGAGGATCGAGCACAACATGTTTGAGAAATTAGACAGTGATAACAATGTGAGGTTGTGATACTAATATTAAGTGCATGTTTGGTCAGTTATTAAATTATAATTTAAGTAATTATAAGTTGGGATTCCTACAAAATGTGTGGATAACTTACAATGAGGTGAATGTGTTTTCCAATTAGATTGTATGGCACCGATGTGAAGAAACATAAATTGAAATACATTTTTAGAAGGAATGAAAAAAGAAAGTATTCGACACGGGGAAGGTGGTATCTAAAGATTAATGATTCTTTTTTTGTCAAACAAACAAAAGATGAAACTTGGGCAAATACGTTTGGTAAGTGTGACTTGTGGATAAATGAATAATACTCGTGAGTCACTCGAAATGTATGAATAAAAAATTATTTTAGCATCTATTAACATTTTATAAAGATGAGCCAAGCACGATAAGTTCAATAAAAGAGATTGAAGTAAATATATTGAAGAACAATGCATCCACCTGTTTATTCATCAAAGTGAGAACCTTACGACAAACTCTTCCTTAGCAGGGAAAAATGAAAAAAAAATGTTCTCAGCAGACAAAATTTGAACCGAAACTTGAAACAATAAAGCTATTTGTACAAAGTTGGGTTACAAAGTGTGTTGGCAAAATCCAGACCGTTGATTTCAAATGATTTAAAAATCTGTTTTTAAAATGATTGGTGTAGATGTTATTTTGTTAAACAATTTTATAACCCAACTTTGTACATGTACCATAACTCAACTTGAAAACATAAAACTCATTTATTAATGTAACCAAGAAAGATCCACGGGCTTCATTTATTTTTGCGAGCGAGTTGCATTCTTAACCGATTCAACTGCACCTTGTGCATTGGCTTGCATTTGTTGTCCAATCTAACTAAACACGCTAAATAAAAATGGATAAGTCAAATATTCAAAAAGTCACATGTAATGTTGTAAATATATAGCTATAAGATGACAGATCGCCCTCTTGTAGGGACTCCATGGCAGATTGTGCAGCATTGCTTTCCTTCTCCATCATACAAATAAAATCATTGCCAATTTTGAGGATTTGGAAACGAAAAATTAAGAAAAATAATAGACGACAACTAAGACTAAAACTTAAGTGAGGTACTAGCCCCAGCCCAGATCCACTAAAAAAAAAAAATTATCCCGTGTCCATTTAACCACAGCAGCCTGTATCCAAAATTAAATAACAGCCCAAACCCAAAATGAAAAATTAAATTCATTGGTCCAAACCCAAACCTAATATCTATATCCCTCTCTCTGAAGACAAGGACAACAACAACCTCTACAGCTTCTCTCATTCTCGAGTAAAATGTTTGAATGGTCACTGAACTTTAATATGGTCACGACTTACTCACTGAACTTCAAATTGTCTCTTAATGGTCACTGAACTTTCTGCTGTTGCACCACATCCATCACTCACCAAATTCCGTTATCATTGAAGCTGACGTGGCGGACGGAAAACACATTTGGTAGGTGACGGCCGTTAAAAAATGACAATTCAGCGAAAACATTGTTTCATTACTCATCCAACTTACATTTTGTCACATTTCACTCATCGAACTTCAAAATGCTTCCCAATTGTCACTCATCTTTGAAATGTTGCACTCTATTCATCATCCGCATATTTTTGTTCCCTTCATTCATAACGTTCGCACAAAAATTCCACGAGTAAGTTACAAATGTTAAAAAAAATTGCAACTCAACAAAACTTAACTCACCAAAATCATCATATATGAAACGTGACTTTCAGGCCCCATCAACTTCTTTAAAACTAAATAAAGCGTCCCCAATGATTCTTTTAGAAATATCATTTTTCTAATTCGAACGTTTGCTATGCAAAAAAATAGGTTTCAATATGATATTTCTAAAAAAATCATTGGGGACGCTTTATTGAAAAAATTATTCTTTTAGAAAAAACGATTCTTTTAGAAAAAATAAACACTCAATTTTCTTCTCCATTGTTTGAACTTCCAAGGCGAAGGTAGAATTGAACAGTAAGGAAATACTTTGCTGTGCATTTCATTACTTGCAGGTTTCTATATCTATAACATTAGGTTAAAAAATCCTTATTGGAAGGGGAGATCTGGCAGAGGCAAGTGAGGCCTATGCCTCAGGCCCAAAAATTAAAGGGCCTCGGATTTTTTTTTTAAATTCCTCATTCCTACAGTGAGAATAGTTGTATTTTTTTTTTCTTTTAAATAAAAGCTATAAGTTTCTATTTTCCTTTTTACCCTTCAGCCCTAAAGTAAGGAACGACTCTTAAATCTGACAGTAAAGAAAACAACGAAGCAGCAGCGGCGAAGAAATTGAGCGACATTTGCGAGCTTCAAGCTTCAAATCTAAAATAATTGAACGGGAAAATTCTGTACCTGTCTAATTTCAACGGCAACCAGTGTTCACTACCTGAGGAACTGCTCAAGGAGCGACGAAGATTAAGCAAAAATTCGCATTTATTGAAGGTAAAAATTGGAACTGTGAGGACGTCATTAGCTATGTTGTGCTTGAAATCTGTCTTAATTTGATAATCTTGTTTCTTAGGGAAGCTACTTTTAATGGTTCTCTCTTAAACATTCAGATTTTATTAACTTTGAACTCTACTGTTCCCCCCCCCCCCC